GTGGGTGCTGACCGGGTGGTCCGCGGGGGTATGGCGGCGGGTGGTTTCATGTCCGTGTTACCGGTAGCAGCCGCAGTCGTGGCCGCGAATCCCGCGCCGCCGATGAGCTCGGGCCGGACGCCGTTGATGCGGCACACGGACAGCACGGACGCTGCGGCCGCGGTGGCCGCGTTACCGGGCGCAGTGGACGCGGCCGACGTCTGCGTGCCCGCGGCGTTCCAAAACGCCGACGACACGGACGTGACGACGGACTGCCGGCGCTGCTGGTACTGCTGCGTCACCGACATGGAGTCGGCGGCGGAGGAGGGCGTGTAACACCGCAGCGGCGGCGGCTGATTCGCTTGAGCGTTCACCGTCGTCCAGGTCAGTGGCGGCGATAACGACGACGACGACAACGATTGCTGCGGTGGCGGCGGCGGAGTTGTCGCCGACTTGACGACGCAACTCAACGGGCTGGTCATCACCACCGACTCGCGCCTTTGCTGCTGCTGCTCCTGTTGCGCTGCCGCCGTCGCCGCCGCCGCCAACGCCGCTGCTGTGGCCACCGCCGAAGGCGATGGCGACGGCGACGGTGGTTCCGTCTTGTTGTCGGCCACCGTCCCGTTTTCGTATCCCGTCCCGATCGCGTCTTTCGGCTGCGGGTCGTCTAACATCTCCTCTTTGACCTTGACGCCTTCTCCCACGTCATTCGGGTCTTGCCCGCTGTCCGTGGTCATGCTGCCGCATTCCGGAGATGACGCCATTCTATATATATACGAACACAAACACACACATGAGCATACAGGACCGATCAAAACGACTTATATTTATTGTGTTTTAATTAGTGAAATTATTATCACGTCCGAAAATAATATAGCGAGCACGATCGACGAAATGTTCCTATTTAATCGATAAGGGTTATTGACGGCTGAGAGCACTTTTAAGGTGTATGATGTATATATTATATGAAGTCCGAGGCTCTGTACCTCGTTCCGTGTCGAACGATTGAATGTTAAACGTGATTGTGCAACGTGCCTAGAAAGAAACTTTTCTATGGCTGATCAACTTTTTTGGCGATGATGTATCTGTATACTTTGTCTATTATTGTACCTACCGATAAATCTATCAATACGGTGAATAAACTTGTAGACAAGTTTAATTCTTATACGTTATATTAACTAAAGATTGATCATCCTACTTTAAAGAATTTCGACTTTTACAATACGAAATAGTAAAAAAAAAAAAAAAGAAAGAAAGATGAGTGATCGATCTCAAGTAACCTCCTTAATAAATTTATTACATAAATATGTTTTAAAAATATAACCGAATATGTAGGCACAATGAATAAAAAGTACGTCATACTTTTAGTGAAACGTATTAATCAATGACTACAAATTAATGAAACGTGCGTGCGTGTATGGTAGTGCTCCACTATCTCTTTTATAGTACAAACGCTATTACTAAGATAATTGTCTACACGAAACTTCTTAAAAGCGACCGGAATCCACTTAATATGTTATTATGTTAGTGTATTATTGCGTCCCATACAATATTTAAAACATCCGATATCGTCCTCGGTTACAAATATACTCCTATAAACATCGTGTATAAACAGAGAGATTTCGCAACAATACATTGTATAGTTAATAAAAGCATAGAATTCGAGCGAAAGGCTAAAGGTATAGTCGCGGTCGCGTTATATTGTCAGAAAACGAGATTTTTGACGCCAGTTGCATAATCATTCGTAAATCACGATTTGTAGCCTCAGTGGCCGATGCCCCGATACCCTCCCCGGCATTTCGTGATAAATCGTACCTATCCATCGATATGATAAGTCCGGGCGACGGTACAGATCTGTCCATTCGGCAAGACGGGGATGCCGGACCAGCGACGTCTGGTGATGAAGTACTCGTGTCCGCTATGCTCTCACCTGTTCAAACATAAATACACATAAAATCATTAAAAATCTTAAACTAAATAAGAAGTACAAAGGGATTTATTTGCACGCGACGTATATACGAGTACGTCATTCCGATATATTGTTGTCCGTACATAGTTTCATGTGTATAGGCCGTTGAAAGAAATTTATAAATATAGGTAATGCACAAGTGCAATTCGGGACAGATAAGATAAACGAAGTCGTTTCAACTACTCCTATTATTAGGTCACGCACTCGGGGGGGCCGTATACGCGACGCATTACAGTGTAGTAACGATAATAACATAGTAATGTATACACGCCGAACCACCGAATGATGAGACTTTTAAACGCCAGTTACGCATATGATAATATAATAGGTGCCTATATTATATATACAATAAATTATGTCCTATATAAGAGCGTAAGTCAGGAGAATAACAGATATATATATAAGTGTCCGACGAGTGTGAAATCGTTGGAAAAAAATCGAAACCATTTGGTTTCGATTTTGGAAATCGGTGTGCATCTATATATATATATATATATATAATATATAATATTGTTATTATTGTCGTCAATGATCATCGGTCAATTATTATACGATATATAGGTCGTCCGATTCTCGGGGAAAAAAATCTCGTGAAGGAACCTATCTATTATATATTATACACAATAATACTGATAAATGAAAAGAAATAAAAACGACATTACGGAATTAGGTCAGATCAGTTCCCATAAGTCCTATCGGTGTTGCCACGTGGGCGAAAACCCTGCGTGCTGCACAAAAAATCACCGTGACAAACCCATATGATTGGGGGTTGCGTTGCAGATAGATTCCCATGACCTTAGACACAATGAAAACCGGCCGATGCCCAGTTATTTTGGACGGGTTGGACGTATTTATTACCGTGTATTGTAGTATTTTATTGTAATATGCATTATTGCGGCTACCATTTACAAAACATATAAGTTTTCTTCCCCGATAATAAATATTGAGTGACTCGTAAAGAATCATCATGATGCGGACGGGTTCAGTGTCAAAACAACAAATACGTCGTGTTTGGGATGTCGATTTGTCTCGGTCACTGGGTTAAGTATTTCGTCCCTATGGCATGCAGTTAGGGGTCAACTACGATTAATAAGTAAATATAAAGACGTCGTGTCGTCACGGCTCGGTAACGAGGAAATTATTAAAAACTGGTACTCGCTGTCATACATACATAAATATTTTAATATATGCAATTTTAGACCACGATGTAATGATATGTATTGGATTTTATACATTTCTGAATTTATTAAAAACGTGACTTCTAAATACGTATATCAATACGTTTTATCATGTTACTCGTTTGACTATAAAATTTAAATTTAAAAATAAATCATATACATTTTAGATTAATCCCGTTTTGAAATTATATTATTTTTCTAAATTTTGTATTGCTGTCGAGAAAAAAAATACTAAACATAATTCAAATAAAGCACGTTGAAAGTTTCGTTGTAACTGTAGCAATACCATAATTGTTAATTAATATTATCTAACGTAAAATAAATCGATGAGAGATCATAATAACTACTAGTTAGGTTCATAATTTGTTGTTATTTCATTCATAAATCATAAACTGTAACTTTAAATTTTAAAAACGTCCAAACAGTTAATTTTATATGATTCAAAATGGATAAAAAAAACCGTAGAGTAGATATTTAAAATAAATTGCTCACTGAAACTATGACATTAATACAGTAAAAAAATAAGTAAATAAATAATAAATTGTGTGAATTATACTAAAAAATTAGCTGAAAAAACATTAGCTATCATTTTCGTTTTATGTATAACAATAAATAGTATAACTAAATACCTTAAATCATAGTTGATAATAACTTAGGTATATATTTTATTATTTTAATAAAACGATGGAAATAGGAAGTTAACATTTTTAAATGTTGTGAATATTATTACGTGTAAAAGTTTACAATTTATGACTAAGGGGCAGGGGCGTGGACCAATATTACACCCTTTTTAAGAATTTAAATGCGGATATGAAATAATAATCAATCATTTTTTTTTTTTTAATTACCATACTTTAATAAATAGTGACCCCGAGTTATACCAAAAGTCTAAGAAAAAAATAAACTAAATAATAATAGCTGTAGAATATTAATATAAATAAGGTTAAATTTTTACCCGTTATCATTTATCAGTTATCATTACAGAGCTAAATCATAACAAAAATCAATCTTATGTTTGAATTTAGTCTGTAAATAATATTGCTAATTCATAACTAGCTTTCATAACTTAAACTAATAATTACAAAAAACCCTCATATAGATATTTATACTTATTCAAAATTACCAAAGTAAAAAGTGAAAGATCTTTAACAAAAAAAAAAAAAAAATTAAGCATAGGAAATTACTTATAAGTATTTAAAAAATATCTTACCGTCACTGCTGCACCTTGAATCTATTTTGCGCCTCTTCAGTTTCAGGTCTTGAAACAGACTCATGGTACTCAGGTCACACGGGGTACTTGTTAGGGTCATAATTCCTGTTCAACAAACAATTTATCGTTACGATTAAAATTTAACGAATAAGACAAAACGATTAACTTTTCATACAACAATAATAGTAGTAATAATAATAATAATAATAGATAATATCGTGCTAAAATTTTTTTTGGAAACTGCACGTTGTACTTTTGTCCACATAAACACGTTAAAACATAAAAAAACTTAATCGACATATATGTGATGTATATGGTCATCATGTAAATATTTACCTCGTTTAATGTAAAAAATATTATTCGTCGATATGCGTGCGTGTAAGTCCGGTTATTTAAAACGTGACGCGACGCATTGTAAAAAAATCTGTACTATAACGCGCGATAACGGTTGCTGCAGCAGTCGCATCGTCACAGAAGGTAACAAAAAATTCAATCATATCTGTCGTCGACGAGAATGCGGCGGTGGCGTCGGCGGCGGCGGCGGCGATAGTGTCATACGCGGGATAAAATCCTAATCTATCTTTTTTTTTTTTTTTTTTTCAATTATTATTATTTCGTATCGAATACAGCCGACACCGTGTGGCGCGTTCGGTCATCGAGTGAATACTGTCACTTTCTCTTCAATCTTTTGTCGCGCACGAGCTACACGAGCACGCCCCGTAGCGCACAACACCCGCGTCACGCGGCATCTATCTCTCAGCGACTGCGAACTCGGGGTAACGCCCAGCCACCGCGACTGCCCCTTTGACGCCTCGAGAACGGTTTTACCGGCAAAACCGGTGGAAAAAAAAAATCCACCGTCGTCGTCGTTAACGATCGCGACGCGAATACCGATCGAATGATTTTTATATTTTTTTTCGTCGTTTTTCGCCCAAAATTTTTGGGGGACTTTTGCGCGGCGTTACGGCGTCGGCGGCGGCGGCGACGGCGATAGCGGGACCCACGTACAATCGATGACGATCGGTTCGGGAATGATCGAGCGGCTGGCGGCGGCGACGGCGGCGGCGGCGGAGAAAAGCGAGAAAGACAAAATAGAAAAAAATATATATATATGTATTATATGCGAGTATTAAACGAGCGTACACACGCGGCGGAGGCTTGTGCAATCTCTGTCTGTTTAATGCAAAACGAACGGTTTTTTTTTTCTGGTGGGACTTTCGGCCCCGCCAATGGTAGCTGTGGCTACTGCCGGCGAACGAACGACGACGACGGCGACGACGACGGTCGGAGAGCGTTTGTATATGTGTGTGTGTGTGTGCGTGTGTGTGTGATCGCTTGTTTGTGTACCGCGTGAAGGTTATAAGTGGGGCCTCCGTTGCGGCCGGTATAAACGAAGAGGGAAGAGGTCGGTAACCTGCTCCGCGGTAAGTAGGTCAGCGCCGTGCGAGTTCGCCCACCCGTTCGGCGGCGGCAACGCTACCGATACCGTTGCCGCCGCCGCCGTATATTTAAACATCGTCAAAACACACGCACTGTGTTATACGCGTTTTGTTCGCCACCTCGTATTCCTCCCCTCACCCCCTCTTCAAGACGACCAAACATCATCATCCCCCGCGCGGCGCGTACGCGGTTTTCCCAACAACCCCGTCCGCCGAGCTGCGGCGTCGACGGCGCGAAAGCGTGCACCAAACGCGGGCGCACGCGCACACCCGGACACCGCGATGTCGGTCGTCCGTCCCAAAGTCACCCCAAATCGCAGTGGGTAAGGGAATCGACGATATTTTCGAAACGAACGCGTTCCCTGAACGCGGGGCTCGCCAGATTTCTAACGATATTTTATCTTATCGCACTTACACACCGTACTACTCTATGATGCTTATTGGCCGATGCGATGCGATGATCAAAAAAATCATTTTCGTCAGTCATTTTATTTATTTTATACGTCTTCTACTATTCGTTAATTTTTCGATTGCGTACGACGCGTTGTGACTCACGAGTCACGGCAATAAAATATGTGATGGCAATAAAATCGTGTGATTTTTGGTTGCTGTGTTTGATTATTTTTTCGATTTTTCGTTTCTTTGCGTAACTGCAGAGGCGACGAACAGATGGGATATTATTATTATTATTATTATTATTATTGTCTTTCGCCAAACCGGATTGTCTGCAGACCGAACGAATTTCGTTCGGTTTTTATTTTGTTTATGTAACACTCATCTCACTCGTTGCGGGTTACATCTTTCACATAGTTAAACGTGTAGCCGCGTGTAGGAACCTATCCCATTTATAGAACTAACATAACACTCGTATTATCGTCTACGTAATGACATCATGGTATCATGTCAACAATTCAAAATATATGCAATTGTATACAAATAAGTCGATTCTTATAAAAGTATCGATTATACATTTATACATAAATTGGAGAAATTTAAATTCAAGTCAATTTATTGACACAAATAGAGTTATATTTTATAATATGTGTGCATATTTTTAGCACGACTTATGATTTATTTGGACCTGCTAAGTGAATGAGTAAAAATAATATTTATACAAAACGCTTATAAAGCCCGGCATCTACGGATCGCTGATAATAAATATTAACTATTTCGATCTACAGATAGATAAATATATGCCTCTATGGACTGCCACGGTGAGAATAAAATAGAAAAATATGATACGTTTGAATGTCGCCCTATGAATGACGCGTGAATGCGTGATAAATATTTCGGGTTTTGTGTGTACGCGAATACATGTGTGTGTGTGTGTGTTTGTGTAAATACCTTAGACAACAAAGGATCTGTTAGTTTTGGCTGCAAAAAAATAAATAGTTTCTATATTGTTGGCGTTCGGAAATTTCTTTTCGTGACAGCCGACGCAAAAAAGGAAAGGGCTTTAAAATATACACGATCACAAGTATATATATTATATTGGTACACGCGCCGCGATACATTCGATCTTAATAATGATTGTAGGTACACGACACAGCGCCAACGTTTTATTTCTAGGCATTCTTTACGCGCCGGACCGTATCGAGTCTTGGAGGTTTTGTTTTGTCCGAACGTCCTTCTATCGAATTACGTATATTTTACAGTTTACGTACAGTTAGGTACGGCGTATATCGCGAGGTACGCCGTACACGTACTTTATATTTATATAGATTATCGTGGCGTACAACACACTGCTAACTCGAGTTACCATCGTCGTTTGTATTTCCCTTGTCTTAGGGAAATACACCCAAAGAAAAAATAAAGACAACACCACCGCAGTCCATAGCAATACTGATAACCGACGAGATTGCACAGTGTATAATACTTACCTCGTACATCGTAATAATATCGTTCCTAATTTAATCATGTTTTTATACAAGTGTTGTCGGATCATTAGCCGCGACGCAACGCATAAAACACAATAACCGATATAATATAATATGTAGGTCGAATTTGTTTTTCAAACGCTATATCTAACATATGACGTCATTTCGAATCCCGGATTCAACCATACACGATTATTATTATCATCGTTGAATAGTCTTACCAAACCGTATATACTATTCGTGTGTGGCGTGTACCTATGTATATACTATACATTATATTACATGTTCGAATGTGTGGACTGTAGATGCGACTGGTATCGATATCTTAGGGATATAAAGGAGGGCTATTGTTGATTTTTTACCGTTTTGTTGATTAGAAGGTATTATTTATACTTTTTTCCATTTAAAAAAAAAATTGATGTGAATATTATTATGTATGGTATTTGATTGATCTTAATTACTTGTTAATAATTGTTCGTTTAATACGTACATATAATATTATTGTAATACTGATTACTATATACGGAAAATATTTCTACAAAAAATACTTGTAATTATCCCGAAAAGCACAAATATTCTTAGAAATAATTTTTTTTTCATAGAAAAAACCATTTTTCAAATAATAGATGTTTCATGTTAAAAATATAATCATCTTTCTCATAGTTAGTGTATCCGAATTTGTATATATTACACATTAATGATCTCTATATGACGTTGGTTAAACACGATGGAGGAGATCGGAGATATTTCTCTCTCAAATTAATATTTATTTTAAATATTATATCACTTAAATTTTTATAAAAAAAAATAATTTAAATGATAAAAACTTTTTTATTATCAATTATCAGAAAAATTATTCACAATTTTTAATATTGTAATTATAGTTTTATTAATAAGTGATAAAAAAAAAAAAACACGTAGGTAGGTACTATAAGATCTTAAATTTTTTTTCGTCTTCAAAGTACATATTAAAAATTCATCTACATTCCCTCTTCCTACCAATTCTCTTTAAAAAATCATTTGACCACTATACTGTTATTATATTATATTTAATTGCATGTAATATTTATATTATAACAATATCATTAGTATCTCAGGAAACTAAAATAAAATAATAACATTATTATAATATATAAGATAGGTATATCTATTATATATCTACATAATCGTTCTGTTGGTGCGTAACTATAAAACGCGACGGTAATATTTATCATTCTTTCGCAATTCGAACTGAGCAGTTTTTTTTCGTTTACTTGTTCAACGTTTGTTTTTTATTCTTTTTCTATCTCTCTCTTCACCAATCAAGTTCACGTCCACGAATATAGTTACAGATATTATTATTATTTTATTCCGTGTCTATTACAAGTAATGTCAGCGGCGGTATCAAATGTAAAAATGCGACACAAGCCAAGAGCCGATCGTACGAAAATAGAACGATTCTTGGAAGATAATTCAAATGTGCACGGCGGCAGACATGAGACTTTTTTCGGCCAACAACTGTGACATACATTCGTCGCGGTTTTAACACAATATATACCCCCGAAAATAATTGACATAATAATGTAGTCCGCTATAATAATATATTATATTATACTAATGTAGTACATTATATAATATAATATAATATGTTTCCGATGACAGTTATACCGTGGTCCGGATGTAATTTCTATATCCGGCTTACGCATCTATCATAATACATATTATAAACTATAATATCCAACAAGACGGTGTTCAAAAAAATTGTAGGTACGTCAAACTCGAGTCATAGGCTTTAGTTTCAAAACGTTTGACAATCACGCCGTTCAATTTGAAAATAAACAATATTGTTGTATCAAGGTCTACCAAAACGGAATAACAAAAAAAAAAACAATTTTTTTTAACCGCTATACTGACACATTTGTAGAACATCAACAATACTCGATATCGATTGTTATAATTATGTTTAGCAAAAAAATTATCATCAAATAGTCATCATTGTTGTCACAAAATATGACCCAAGTTTAGCGTTGAAATTCGCATACGTAGCATTACCCAATATATATTATTATTATAAGCCGTTTTATATTTTTGGCATAGTGAATATCTCATGTATAATCGCATGATGTACACCACACTAATACAGTCATCATACCTAACTATACCTTCTATGCTTATTAGTTGTTACCTACACCTAGGTTACAGTAAATAGTAAATACGTGTCATATATTACATGAAACGAAATACGAATTCTATTCCGGAATTATGGACGGGTTAACATTTGATGTGTTGTTCCGGCGATTAAATAGGGCTTTACAATAATATTATTTTTTCGGCACCTTTAATTTATAGTAAGATAAACAAATTAAATTTATTATTATATTATTAAGCAACGTTCTCCGAGTTACGTTCAATGTTTTAGTTCGGTTTAAGCGATAAGAGGAAAATAAAATAGAATAACCAGCTGCCTATATCATGGGAAACGAGTTCAAGGCAAAACGGGCGGCAAAAACCTCGCACCCGTTGTCGGCCGGCCAACGACCCGACGACCGAGATCTCGGTTAGTGCAAAGGTCGTTTCATGAGATATTTTTGTCCCCACTCCCATTCAGAACCATTTAGTAATGTAATAATCAATGGTCATAATTAGTTTAGCCATCATCTTCCAAACGATTTGTACTTGTGTAAGATTCCCATTAAATATTATATTTATATATTTGTTTAATATAGTGTACCTATACTATATACATACATACAGACATACACACACACACACACACACACACACACACACATACACACTTTAATGTATGTGTACATATTAATATTATCATCATCATCATTATTATTATTATTATTATTAATAATTGTGTATAGGATTTTTATCAAAAAATTCCCCGTTGCGATTATAAAATAATATATTAAACTGTATGCCTGTATGTACGTAGGTATTTAATTTCTAGAAAAATTCGCTGACAATTTTCTTAAAAAGCGCATTTTGCAACATTTTTAATTTTGCGTACATTGGGTGTACATAAATAATCTATAAATATACATTTAATATATTTAGTAATCATGAAAAATATATATATGTAGTAAGTATAATAACCCCGTTCGACGAGATTAAAAAATACATTTCTGTTGTTTTTATAAGACAGTTGAAAGTATATTTTGTTAATTCGTTCATTTGTAAAAACTGATAAGCGACAACGTTGTCATAATATATTCTCATAAAAACACATGTATGTATATATTATATTTATAGTAATAATATACGTTTAAAGACAGTTAACGATAACAATAAGTGGATAACGAGGAGTGACACTGTATATTTAATATTAAAACATGAGTATAAAATATATATGGTGGTGTAGCCAAATGGTTTCTATACAAAGTAATAGCACTTGTGTTTTAAATGTATTTTATGAATTCAAAGTTATGAAAATATTTAATTTTTCTTCATTCAAAATTAAATAATTAAATTTATTTATTTATTCAAAAATGCATTACATTAAATTTTATATTTTATATAATATTATAATTTATAATATTTAATTATACTTCAACAAATTTACAAAAAAATATATATTTTTGATTTTATTACATTTATAATTTATTAAATAAGATTGTTACATCTTATTTAGAAATAATAGTTATGTGTACACTTGTGTACACATTTGAAACATATTATAATGCTATGTCACTTAATTCATATTGTTGTTTAATAAAACAACATACGTTTTATAAAGTCAAGTTATAATTTATTATGATTTATAGTTTATACGACATTTCAATTTTAAAATGACTTCATTTTTATTCTAATAAGTTCATATTTGTTTCATAAAAAATTTAAAATAAGTATGATAAAATACTTAAAAACATTTTTTATATTTAAGTGTAGAATACAGATATGTACTTAATATATTTTAGGAAACATTAAAAATCCCATACATTTTTATTTATTTACCTTTTACAACACATGTAAATTTGTGTCAAGAAAAATTTAAAGTTTATGATTTACAAATTGATAGTTTGATAATCTATAATTTATCAAATTAGAACATATCATAGATAATACGAGATAAAGTGTTTCTACAAAGAGAATATATTATAATTTAATAAAAACATAAAGTAATAACTAATTAGTAATAAATAACTCTTGTAATAATATAATTTTTAACTTAACAAAGTATTCGTCATTTAAATAAAATTAATAATTATTTCTAATTTTTCCAAATATATTATAATTCTTGTGATAAATAAATTGTAGCATATTTTTATTGAAAATTAATTTATAATTAATATATTAATACATTGTATTGCTTATGTGATTATTGATTCCTATCATTTATTACCATTTATATTAATGAATTCAAATTTAATCGAAACTGAATATTTTAACATACCAAATTAATTATTTACCTTCATAAATAAGAAAATAAACAACTATAGAATGACTAAGACTATTATATTTGATCCCCGTGTCGTATTTTAAAATTCTGTAAATATAATAATTAATATGAAAAAATTGTTTGAAAAAAAGTATGTATATTAATAAATAATTATAGGTTACAATGTTTTTATTTAAACCTAATCCAAAACAGCTACTTATTATAGGATATTTTTAGTCTGTATAATGCACATACGTTCGCTAAAAACCGTTACGAAAACATCACGGCATTATTGTACCTACCTATGTTTTGTTTATTTGGCATGCACGCTTTAAAAAAAAAAAGTAAAAAAAATCGAACAATAGCTCTGCTATAGGTTGTCACAATAAATAGGTCCTTGAAGCTTCAATCTGCCTTGAACCATACCGGCCCAATAATTAATTCCAGCACCATTCGAGCTGTATAGGTATAGCCGGTATATGTACACGTTTTACCCACTGGTTTAGAGGTTGTGACGTCAACATCCTTCTCGGAGATTAAAAGCGAAAAATAATAAAAAAACTAACTAATACAATAATAACAACTGCAATATCCATCCACTCTTATCCTCATCATTCCTGCTGCACGTAGCGCAAGATGCAGCAAACCGCACGATATCGATAATATATTATAAATTATAATATCGTATTGTCTTATGTTTAGCATTGGACAGAACAATAAAGACGAATGTTCAGGGAAAAAATTATTATTAAAAAACTGGGTAGTATTGTTATTGTCGTGTAAACGGTAGTCGTGTTGTACAGCGCAGTTTACGATTTTGAGTGCACTAAATTTAGGACTGACTATATAGATTTTTTTTTTTTTTTTTTGTGGGGGGGGGGGGGGGGGGGGGGGGGGAGGAGAAATCCGTTGTGTGGACAAATTATGGGTATTGAAAAATATACTCGTATAATAATTACGTGCACAGGTATGAGGTACGACAAGGAATATAGGCAAATCGCGTCCGATAACGGACGAATTGTAATTATTGTTTAATTATTGTTGTTGTTGTTATTATTATATGCCTACGTTATAAATGTGCCTACTGTTCTAAAGTTCGATTACGACATTGGAGCATTATAAGACAACGACGCTTCCAATCGTCGACTCGTAACAACCGGGCCAAGGTTATAATCGTACATAGTGGGTACAGTCGTATACGCGTCCTATCACGCTTGCACATCAAACATAAACGACACATAGCCGCGTTAGGATACAATGAACTTTACGCACTTCATTACATGGGTACCTTACTTACTCGTCTCCTCCTCCATCCTCTCCCCCACCACCAACCACCGCCAACCTACGCGGACTCGCGCGCACGCGCGCGCGCGCGCGAAAACGTACTTATGCACTTTTATTGTAATATATCTACGGCGTTTATTATCGTATTGTATCACGCGCGTTTATGCACAGATCACAATATCGATCGGCATTTGCATACGATGCATACTTGCAGGGTTACTAAAATGTACGAAAATATCTAATTATTATTATTATTATTATTATTATTATTATTGAATATCAATATATTTTTTATAAGTGTTATTCACGATGGCAGCGATCTCGTTATCGTCTTTCGCTGCCGTTTATTACATCCGAATTCAATTTTCACGTACACGCAAGATAATCCAAATCCACATTATAATGATACGTTCGACCAAGTGACTTATGCATAATATTATATAACATTTATTTCTAAACAAGTCTTCCATCATCTGTACGCCAAAATCCTCTCGGCCGCTGTTTTAAGCGTAGGCGAATTGTACAATAGTATGTAAATAGACAATTAAACACATTGTGTATTACTAATCAAACATAAACCGTTAGATTGTGCTTTCGAGAAATAACAATTCCAGCGGTGTTAATATTTCGGCAGATCAGTACGACTGCATTGCAGGAGATATTTATTTAATATTTCAATAATTCGTTATACCAGATGTCCCTGGACTAGTTGCACGAAGGTGGACACTTGTAGAAGGTCGTAGGGGGTCAAAAACCTTGACTAAGTTTTTTGTTTTTTTAAAATACGGTCACGTCATGTTGTCAATACATGTGATAACTTTTATCAGGCTAAATATTGTCGTAAAAAAGTTACTGTCATCGTGTTTTCGAAAAATATCGGTAAAAATACCAACATAAGTACCATTACAATAACATGGTATAGTACTAGTATAATATAAACATACGTTGCAAGTATCGTAGGCTATTAATTATATAATAAGACACATTTAATTGTATACTATATTATTACTAACTCTTAGTTCTTACATATAAACATTAAACATATACGTAAGTACATAACACATAAACCTGAAAAGAACAGATATTATATCTTAGTTCACTGAAAAATGAAGTTATACTTGTTTTATCCAATGTCTGTGTCATTTTATCTTAATCTTCCCGGGTCTTCGTATTACATATAACACAGCTTTTTCAAAATCTTTTTTTCCGTCCAAATTCTAAAACACAACCGTAAAAGCTTTTTAGCTCATTTGATAATATCTTTGGTTCTCCGAGCCGTTAATTTAAAAAACAAAAAAAAAAGAAGATAAATTATAACCACATTGCAATGTACATAATATATATACATATATTATATACATTACACATATTATTTATAAACATTTTATTTATGCAAATATTTAATTCAAGCAATCTGATTCTCGAACAAAATCGCGGTTCTCAGAGTGTAATCATTATGAACTATACTTTTAGTTAGCTAACACCAGGCTACACTGGTTATAGCCCAAGGCCTGCGCGCAAAAGTGAAAGTGACAAACCAAGCGGCATTGAGCCAGTCCATCTACGTTAATGTTAAGGAAGGCGTTTTGATTATGCAGGTTGTGGCAATGTAGCGATCGTTGAACTCGGTTACAGCCAAACATTCTGAGAAATTTGGAAAAAAATCTGTGTGTAATAGGTAGGTATATGATGACAGGCATAATATGTACAAAAACACAATCAAAATCCATTCTACATGATACACACATTAGGTAGTAATTTATCGAGAAAAAATTTAAACTGCAAAAATCATTGCTTCCGTAGAAATAATAGATTTAAAAATAGTACCTAAGTAACTTATTTAGTGTATAACTACTAACGATGTACAATTTAATAACAATTTGAAAGATATTAATAATAAATTATTTTGTAATTAATTACTGCGTATTTAAGTAGTACAAGTATAATATCATGTGTCGTCAAAAATTTGAACCATCATGACTCAACGTGAAGTTTGCATAGGTGATTACCAATAATGTAAAAAAAGAAATTATTGAAAAGAGAAAAGTGTAATTTAAATTTTAGCAAATTGTAGTCCGTGATAAGTTCAACGAGACACAGCTTTTAGTTTGCAAAGTGAGTGTGTTAATATATTATACAATAAAGAGAACGGATTCTCCCCCTCAAATATAATCGAATATATAATCTTAGAACCGGTTTTTATGTTTAGCTTAGGATAAACAATTTCTATCATTCTTACAACTTGCAAAGGTTTGATATTTTTCACTTATTTTGTTGATAATGATATAAGAGACAATTAAATATGAATTTTTGGTAATATGTATGTATATATATATTTTTTTTGTTGAGGAAAACAATATTGCGTGCCGAAGAACGACAAGGTTACGTCTTATACGACAATCTCTATTGCGATATACACGTCGAATGCAAAACAAAATCTTTTGGTGTACATAAAAAATAAATATATTTCAACTCAAGTATATTACACAGTCTGCTTAGAATATTTACCAAATAGTATTCAATAACATTATTTTTCATATGAATTTATTCCTTGATATAGTCAATACTTTATAATCTATAGTATGGTAAATAGACTTTACAATAGTGTACAATTTTACCCGGAGTTTCATATTTTAATATCGAATAACTATAGTAGTTATTATTTGGAACAATATTTTCAAACTGACTTAAATAAATATTTTTCAAATACGTAAATGTTCACTAGAATTAAGATTAAATCATCTATATTATTATGTATGAATGTATACAATACACGAGTTTTAGGTATAAATCTTTAAGTAAACGTGTGGGAAAATCTAATGCAATAAAAATGGTATTAAATATATTATAATATGTATACAATTAGAGTAACTTATACATTATTTGGTTGACCGCTCTATTACAGTAGTTGATGCACCGCAATGAGGAAATGCACCTACAATTGACCTTACCTAAGGCGTTGGTGGTATTCTCAAGGAGGTCATTCATTTATAACAGTTCTAATTCATTGGATACGAAAATAGGATTTCTAAATTATCAGTCGATAATCAATGTTTATCTATAAGTGTACTTGATTATAATAGATCATAACCGGTAAGTAGTGAATGTAAGGGGTGTCGTTAGTCATTTTGAACATGCAAAATGACGTCAGACCTCCAATGTTTATATAAACGTTGTGAATGTTCTCTCTGTAAAAGCTTTGATTAAGGATTTTGAATACTATTTATGTAAATGAATTATTATAAAATGAAATTCACGAAAGTGATATTTTTATGTGATATACTGTATATCATATACATTATACAAATAATTATAATCAACGGTTATTGCTATTCATACATACACTCTTATAAACATAAGATGCGTTGTATTTTAATAATGAATAAATAATAATAAGTCTGTAAAAAGGAAGTTTAAAACCAGTAATATACAGTATCTACTAAGTTTATGTATGAATTAAATAAATCATAATTATTTTAATAACAGCGATACGCACTTATAGTTTTCAACCATGAAGCCAAATAAGAAATTATGCAACTTTAAAGATCCCGATAAATTAAATTCAACGAATTTATAAATATGGTAGAACACGAACACTAAAGTATAATATAAAATAAATACATTTATAATATAAATAATATGGTTGGAAAAATAGTTTCGAAAATATCTGCAATGCCGCAGACCCGTTCAGATTAGGTCAGGTTAATAGTATGACCAATATTTAGGTGAAAGATGTAATTTGATATGTTTTACAGGAACGAGAGAAGAGACTATATAGATGATAAGCGAGAAAAATGTCGGTCACCGACCTTCGAATCTCTGTGATATTTCTGTCGCGTCTATGTGAATTTTCACAAACCGTACTCATCGAATGTATAGTAATAATAATATAGGTATAAATATCTACAATTTGCATCACGCTGAATTCAGAATACAATGACCCCGGCAGCACATCGTTTTACGACATTATCCGGGGTACTACATTATATCAAGGTGTACCGATAACAATTCGCTATACCTACAAAATAATACAACATTAAATGTTAAAACTATGTACGAGTACCTACGGGTAATCTGTATAGAAAGTTACTAACCAGCTGATAGTGATTTCCTAAAATTATTCTGATACGATGGGATAGTGTATATGGGTAAAAATGCAAAATAAGTAAAATAATTTTTGATCAAATAGTAACTTGTTTTATTTTATCAGGTCATAAGTAAATTATATGCAATAAGAAATATATGGTTGGAAGGTGATTTGAAATATTTGTCAATAACAATTATTTGTCTCGGTCCACAGCCCTGACTATATTATTATGTACATTTACGAATATATATATACTATACGTCTGTAGTGGCGCTTATTAATAAGCAATATAAATATACATATTATATATATATATATATCATACACAATTTATCATGTACACGTGTAAGATATTAGAAATCATTACAGAAAAATAACAAAAATCAAACGGAAAAAGTATTGTGGTACGATAGTCCGGTAGCATCCTCAAACTTCTCTTCGAGTATAATAATAAGAAGTATGCGATGAGATGTACACGCAGGTAAATATGTGGGATGATAAATCGCGCGGGGAAGCATCAACAAATTTACGAGTTGCGGTAGAAATAAAAATATCTTCTCCGAGGTCAAGTTCGAGGCACCCAAGAATATCTTTACCTATACCGCGTATAGACTAAAATATTGTTATCAGTAGTCGTAAAATACTACACACTTACAGAATACGCATAAACAAACGTACCTTAGTGACAAGGAATCCATTTGTTGTCTAATGATCAATCGGAAAAATCGTCCTCGAGATTCGTTTAAAATCGTAAAAACTTGAAAACTTCGTTAATGTTATTTACTCGTATGTTATACCGACGACGGACAGAGCACGGAGTTTAGCGCACAGTAAGTAAAAAACGTACCAAGTGTAAAACTTTCAAGTACGGCGGCGGCGGCGGCGACAACGACGAAAGTATTATTATGATCGTTATTGTTCGTTATGTTATTTTTTATTATTATCATCAAACAAAATGCATTCGTGTGGTCGGTACGCGCGCGGCGTGTGTACCCGCTGTACTATACGTTTTGAGACGCCGAGGAACGCATTTCCGAACCGTCCGACCGGCAAACACTTTCTCCCGGGTCCGGGCATGGTCCACCGCGGAGAGCATGGATCCTTTCTCCTTTCGTTATCGCCGTACCACCATTGTACCTACTGTCTTCGTCACCGTCGTCAACACAGAGGGGAGGGATTTATGGTATATACATAAAAACAAGGTACCTACCTATACTATATATTCATGTGTTTGTGTGGTTTTAGTCGTCGTGTCAATCACCCAGTGGTATATATTATTATTATTATTATTATTGTTATTTGTTAATATATGTTTATACTCTCACTCACCAAGTACACGACAGCCTATTCCCACTCCACCGACAGAGTCATAAACTTATAAGAATATATTAATATAATAATAAACCTATACATAGTAAACGGTCATCTATTGCACTTCCGCCTTGTCTTTCAACGTTATGATATAGTCGTCGTGACTGGCTTTAGGTTTGTTCACCACCCACATTTATATGTATCTGTAACCCCGAGCTTGTGATCACGATACGTAGATACAGGGTATCTATTTATTTTATTGTTACGTCGATAAACAACGACAGACACGCATTAGATGATCGCGTTTTCATCGTGGTTATATTAACGACGACTATTGTCAATGGTGAGTCGTTCTTACGGATTGGTGTTCAACTATTTAAAATTTATATATATATTTAACAATTAACAACACACTCGAAACTCGACGAAGTAATCGAACGATTATAGAAAGTCAAATAAATACTAACTACACATTTCACGAACCAATGATCTTGAATTAGAGTCAAATGTACACGCGTCTCGAATTTTATTTATCCAAACGAAATTTAAACATGACAATGAATAATAGTGTTTTGGAAAAATTAACGAAAATGGAATATTTCTTATTAATAACGGGACAATTAGCGATGACGTTAAACAACCATTTCTTTGTTTCATCACCTTACGGATGAAACAACAATAACTTCGTTCCGGGACTCGATGGTTTAAAACCCGATATAATTATTCCATAAATGTATTTTTTTTAAGTGTTTCCGTAAGAGAAATGTCAATATTAAATTCGAAATTGACGTGTTTTGAGCCAAAAATAATCATTAACTTTCACATTTACCGTGCAGATACCGAAAATAATAGCAAGAAGAATTGAGTTCTAACATTAATCATTAATGAAACTAATGAAACAAGTCAACTCGTTATGTTTAACATTTACTAATGGTTTAATTTGTTATAAATACACAATATATGTGTTTGATAATTTAGGCTCATTAAATATAAATATTAATATAATATGTACAACGTACCCTTTATTACCATTAAAGTTAATTTGGACCTCATATAGTCATATATTCATATAAACATGATATCGTCATATCGATTTATCTCTTTATCATCATTCATCGTATGTTTTAACAACATTATTATTTATTATTTTTATGAAATATCCATATTATTTATTATAACTGATGAATGTAATTACTTTTTATTATTTAGATTATGTAGTAGTATTTTCAACATATTATTTTTATGAAGTTAATTGTAATTTTACAAATATGTATAATAAACCAAATTATTCACATTTCTAGTATGATTAAATATTTTTTAAATAAAAATCTAATAATTTATTATTAATTGTTCAAATACACCAATTCAATAGATGTCTACATTTATGTGAATAAATTCATTTTTAATGATGAATATTATAAATTGTTACTATTTTTAAAGCGGAAATAAATTAATATATTTTAAATTTTAATAACTAATTTTAATTGAAGTAACAAAAGAATGACGACAAATACCAAGATCTGAGGTATAATAGTTAAATATTCATTCGTAAAGTTATATGAATGGCACCTATACTATCCTATTAAGAAAATTATAAATATGTTATGTTTTTGATGTATTATTTAGTTTATACAAACTTAATTTTCATAAATATACTGCAGGATGTTATAATTAAGACATAAATTAATAGAAAATATTAGGCACCATTTCAATAAATAGAAGTAATAAAATAAGTTTAGCGATACAATAATATGCTTTTTATTATTGACCAACTAAGAATACTTTCTAAAAAAATTAATTTAGTTTACATCATTCAGACGATATCAAAACATAATCGAGCACTGTGAAAATTATTTATATTGTATATAAACATTATAATTATATTATAGTTATTAAATAATTATCTTGTGAAAATAATTGTAATTATTGCGAATCGAAGGTATATTACAATGAGCTTTGTGCTCAGTTTTAATTTTTGTAATGATTAGTGTATTTTATTAGATTATTGTTGGATAAACATTAAAAACGATTAATTTTCCTAAAAAATTTCATTGTAAAACCTTGTATATTTAAAATAGTAATAATCTAACTCAAAATAATCATTTTTTTAAATTATTATAGTTATATTAGAAATTATAATAAAGTGAATGTACCTACTTCGTGGTATATATTGATCACACTAATTATTATATAGAACTATAGAAGTAAAACTAGTTAATGTGCACTTATTAGTTTATTACATAATACCATATTTCTTTTTAACACGCTCCTATAGTACTTGGTATTAACTATTATAGTAAATAATATAGATAAATGTATAAATATAGGTACATGGTTTCCTCAGTTTATCAAAACAACATTAAACTTCAAGATTAAAATTTAACACTAAATATGCATTATCTGCATATACCAGTGTTTTCTTTTGAAATGCATCAGCAATGCTGTTAAATCTGTTTAAATTAATTTGTCTGACTAAATAATATAATATAATATTAAACTGATCAACGTTAAATCTCTTCGCTAATTAGATATTTAAACAATATTGAATAACATTTAAAACGTAAGTCAAAAGACCATAATTATTGAATAATATTGTAAAACTTTTATTGATAACTGTCAATTTTTTCGTGATAACAAAATATTTTCTATAACTATTTTAAACTATAATTTATAATATACATTTTTAGAAAGTTAAGAAGTAATCATAAAATCAATGTCAATTATTGTTTATATTTTTTTACTCCGTTACTCGTTTAAAATATATTTCTAAAATGTTTGGTGATGAAATATATAAATTCATTTCTTATTAAGTGCAACATAAAAACGTATATAGCTATATACCTACTGATGTATTGAAAAAATTAGCTTCATACAATTTTAGATGAAGGTTAAGGTACCGATATTAGATTAAAAATTGACTAATTTAATCAGATATCCGTGTATTTATATTTATTATATATATATATATATATGAATATAAAAGGTTAAGTTTAGTGACGGCGTTCGTTTAATTAGGTATATTCTTAATTGCATGAAAGCATCGAGAGTAAAAGAAAAAAATAAACATGATGTACTAGCATAATAATATGCAATATATATATATATATATATGAGATTGTATATCTAATAATATAATCGACAATTATATACAGAAGAGTGAGATGAATACGAAGAAAGAAAAAAGTTCTGTTTCTTTTTTTACGACCTATAACTGTGCGATAAATATTTCAACGGATTTCACGCAGGTAGCTTATTATAGTCTTATTATATTGTATTCATCCGTCTTGGAGTGTAAATTATTCGGTTTTGGTTTAGGGAAAGACCACGTACCTACCTTTACATTAAAATATTTACCTACACTTGGCGTGTACAATATTAATACCATTTACTATAACGACAATAATGAAAATAATATATATATAATAATATTAGACAAAACAAATGGCGTGTAGGTTCGAACAAAACCTCGTGCACGCATGTATACAAATTATTATACACACATATAAACACAATCTAAATAATATCTTCAATGCATCTATACATAGGTATAAAATGTGTGGTAGGTATATACATGACAGCGCGCGTTGTCCTCGCGAAGAATAATAATAATATAATAACCCGGTCCCGCGCGTAGTCGAAAATATCGCGCAAGAACAATGGTGAAATGAGAAACCGTGACCTCTGTGAATTTATTGAATACATAAAAGCCGGTGAAAGTCGCCCAAACCAAAACGCGTTTTAAACAACAATATTATACACATCTATATATATGCGCACGCGCGAAAATCTGCCAACACACACATGCGCATTACGCTCGAAAATAGTGAACAATCGGCGGCGGCCAACGAACCCTAGAAGATTTTGGTTTATTTTTACGATGTAACATTTAAACCCCCTCGGGCTCTCACAGCGATAAGTTATTTTATTTACTCGTAGTCCTATGTTTTCTATAATTTTGTAGTCCACCTCTCCTCCAGCCCCGTTTAGATTTTTCTTAACTGCAGACGTATAATATAGAGATAGATAATCGAGCTATATTAATTTTCACCTATATGTTTATATAGTACAATATAAATAAATAACTTACTGTTACGGGATACAGTAGTCCTATTGTTGTGCCATCCTTGGTTAGGTTATTCATCCCACACGATCACTCGACTGTCAATCGTAATAATATGCAAATCATATATAGGTACTTATATAATTTCGTAACCTTACAACTTGCCACAAATTATATCATTTATATCAATGAATAACAAATGACACTTTAAAGTCGTGTATAGTTAGAGTTAATTAAGCGCGTTTAATGTAATATTCTACAGTAATTAATATCACCTATATCATTAAGCATATATATACAGGATAATCCATAATCCATCAAATATGTTCACCCTCTTTTTCTTTTTTAACATTACAGTGTTATTCAAAATCTGGTTTTTGGAATCTTTAAATGTATAAAAAGACTATGTTTTTAAATATTTGGTTATTTTTGTATTACTTAAGAAATATAAAAAAATATCATCCCCTAAATAATCAACAGTAAAAAAAGAGGGGAGGGTTCTAATTTAAAAAAAACAACAGAAGTTTGTATCATCATAGGATACTTTTTAAGTGGTATAAAACATCTTAATAATTTGAAAATATAGTGTAAAGTATAATTGGAAATTTTAAAAATCAGAATTTAAATATTTCATTATAAAAGGTAAAAAGGTGGGCAAGTGGGTACCACTCTGCGGTGTAGTATATGT